AGAGATGGGTTAGTTGCAGCAGCCGTGAAGAAGGTCTTGTAGATGTCCTCTGAACCAAGATTCGGCTGCTGCAACTAACCCATCTCTTTGGGAAGGACCTACTTCCACTGGGGAATCCCGCCTACCAGTGACTGCCCTCGTCTGCTGCCCGTCCCATTCACTGACGCCTATAAAAAGCGCCAGTCTTCTTGCCTTTGCTCCAGACTCTCCTCCACCACGATGCTGTGAACACTAACTCCAAGGCCGAGGGACTGATTACCTCATCTTTTGTATATAGTTCTACTGTCTTCCTATTATGTCCTAGAATCTGTATTGATAAAGCCACTGGATGGCGAAACGTCTACTACAATAAAGATACCCAGATGTTGCACATGTGTCTTAACTTTCATAAGCAAGTTTGCCGATGACACCAAAATAGGCCGTAGAATTCATTCTGACGAGGACATTAGAGCACTCCAGGAAGATTTGAATAGACTGATGCAGTGGTCGGAGAAGTGGCAGATGCAGTTTAATATAGACAAATTGTTAGGTAAGACACATATGCAACAGTTAGGTATCTTTATTTCGAAACGTTTCGCCTACACAATAGGCTTCTTCAGTCGAGTACAGAAAAGTTGATAGAAGCAGAAGAGACTTGAAGACGATGTAATCAGTCCATCACCCTTAAAGTTTTGAGGTGGTCAGTCCCTCAGTCTGGAGAAGAGCATTGTTCCAAAGTTTGAAACAATATACTATATACTATATACAAAAGATGAGGTAATCAGTCCCTCAGCCTTGAAGTTAGTGTTCACTAACTCCAAGACTGAGGGACTGATTACCTCATCTTTTGTATATAGTTCTACTGTCTTCCTATTATGTCCTAGAATCTGTATTGATAAAGCCACTGGATGGCGAAACGTCTACAATAAAGATATCCAGATGTTGCACATGTGTCTTAACTTTCATATTGTCGGTATTTTATACCTTTCTTGCACAAACTCAATAATGTCGATCTTAATATTACGGATTGCGAAAAAGATTTAGGAGTCCTGGTTAGCAGTAATCTGAAACCAAGACAACAGTGCATAAGTGTTCGCAATAAAGCTAACAGAATCCTTGGCTTCATATCAAGAAGCATAAATAATAGGAGTCCTCAGGTTGCTCTTCAACTCTATATATCCTTGGTTAGACCTCATTTAGATTATGCTGCACAGTTTTGGTCACCGTATTATAGAATGGATATAAATGCTCTGGAAAACATACAAAGGAGGATGACAAAGTTGATCCCATGTATCAGAAATCTTCCCTATGAGGATAGACTGAGGTCCCTGAATCTGCACTCTATAGAAAGACGTAGAATTAGGGGGGATATGATTGAGGTGTATAAATGGAAGACAGGAATAAATAAAGGGGATGTAAATAGTGTGCTGAAAATATCTAGCCTAGACAGGACTCGCAGCAATGGTTTTAAGTTGGAAAAATTCAGATTCAGGAAGGATATAGGAAAGCACTGGTTTGGTAAGAGTTGTGGATGAGTGGAACAAACTCCCAAGTACAGTTATTGAGGCTAAAACGTTGTGTAGTTTTAAAAATAGGTTAGATAAATACATGAGTGGGTAGGTGTGAGTTGAACCTGATTAGCTTGTGCTACTAGGTCAGTTGTCGTGTTCCTTCCTTAAGTGAATGTGACCTGCCCTGACTAGGTTGGGGCATTGGCTTAAGCGTTTAGGAGACTTGGACCTGCCTCTCATGGGCCAGTAGGCCTGCTGCAGTGTTCCTTCTTTCTTATGTTCTTACGTTTTCTGAGAAGCCAACTAAAGTGTTCAGGTCTCTTTTCTGCCTACTCTATCTTCCTGGCTACCCTCTTATCTTGTAAGTATGTGAAGTAAAAGAACACAAGTGCAACTAATGTGACATTTATTGTGGCAACGTTTCGCTCTCCAGGAGCTTTATCAAGCCATTACAAACAATACATGGACACAGAGGGTATATAAAGGCTCAGAGTGAGGTGCAATACTAGTGAGGTAACATTTCGATGTTCACTAGTGGTAGTAGTAGTAGTAGTGGTGACAAAAGTAATACAATATGATAGAGCAATTAATAATACCCTCTATCTTGTTCGGTGTTCTGCCCTCCCCCAGTCCTTTCCTTCTTTCATACACCTCTCTTAACATTTATCCACCTCGGGTTTTTCCTTTTTTTCCTCTCTACCCACGCCAGTCGTTCCCTTCTTACCCCACCCATCCTTACTACTCGCCCCAGTCATTCTCCACTTTCTTCTCTTCCTCTGTACCCCACAACCATTATTCAATTCCTTACCCTACCCCTGTCTCTCATTTCTTTCTCGCCTCTCTTACCTACCCACAACTTTTATCACTTCTATAATACCCAAATCCTTCGTTCTTATCTCCCTGCCTGTCCACCCACATTTTTCCCTTCTCTCTTACCCCATTCCAGATTCCTCCCTACTATTGTCATTTCTTTTATGGTCTCGTGCACAACGAAAGTTACGTAGAAGGGGAAGTGTCAAAATGAAGAATAGAAAGATACTTCAGACACGGCAAAACAAACAATGTTTCTCTCAAGCTTTGCTTGAGCGAAACTTTGTCGTAATAAAGGCTAGTTTTGCTCTGTATCACGTACGTTTTACAGGAAACTTTTGAGAGACGTTTTATTCCATCCTGAACCATTATCTTGCTCAATCGCGGCGTGATAATGGTCCAGGAGGAGCGAAACGTCTGAAGTTTCCTCCCCAAATGGTGGTTTATTTGTGAGTTCGGACCATGGTATTGTGACTTTTTGATTCACGAAATCGTAATGACACGATTGCAAACAAACCATACCACGGGTGGGGTTTGAACCCGCGGTCAGTCATAAAGCTCCAGACCGACGCGTTAGCCACTGGACCAGTTGGCTACAATAAAATTCATCCAACTAGGTATATTTAAACACCATGGGAAGGTTAGCACAGGCACCACTATGACCACAAATGCAAGTTTTTACAGAGGAATCTCCCGCCAGAGTGGCTGTGACGAACTCTAGCTCAAGTCCCCTCAAAGCCGTCGTTATGACTCGCTAAATCGTAATGACATGATAACAAGAAAACCAAACCACGGGCGCTTGTGGTCACAGTGGTGCCTATGCCAACCTTCTTAGGGTGTATAAATATACCTAGTTGGATCAGTCTTATTGTAGCCAGCTGGTCCAGTGGCTAACGCGTCGGTCTGGAGCTTTGAGAGACTGACCGCGGATTCTATCCCTACCCGTGGTATGGACTGACTTTTTCCTGGGTGCAGTGATTATTTCAGTGTGTGTGTGTGTGTGTGTGTGTGTGTGTGTGTGTGTGTGTGTGTGTGTGTGTGTGTGTATATATGCATGTGTATGCATGTGTAAGTGTATGCGTGTGTGTGCGCGCGCGCGGGCACTCGCCTAGTTGTGGTTGCAGGGGTCGAGTCACAGCTCCTGGCCCCGCCTCTTCACTGGCCGCTACTGGGTCACTCTTTCTGCTCCATGAGCTTTATCATACCTCTTCTTAAAGCTGTGCATGGATCCTGCCTCCACTACATCACTTCCCAGACTATTCCACTTCCTGACAACTCTGTAACTGAAGAAATACTTCTTAACATCCCTGTGATTCATCTGAATCTTTAACTTCCAACTGTAACCCCTTGTTGCTGTGTCCCATCTCTGGAACATTGTGTGTGTAATTGCGTGATTAAAAAAAAAAAAAAAGATTTGAGACGATATTTGTACATGCCTTACATTTGTGTGTAGGTGAATATCTATCTATCTATCTCTCTCTCTCTCTCTCTCTCTCTCTCTCTCTCTTCTTCCCAGAAATCCTATCTAGAATTACAAAAGTCAGAGCCAGATAAAGACTAGCTCACATTTTAATATAGTTCTCAGACTGGCTTCATCTTGCTCTACTTACAGCTTCACAATTTGTGTGTAGTTCTGCCTTTTGACAGTGAGTAATGAATGTCAGAGTAAGGAATGAAAACTTCTGAGTGGCTGCGGTGAGAGACCTGGTGAAGGGACTTCCATATAGGAAATTGGAACTATCATCTCCTTGCGAGAATAAAAATGACTCCAGCCCTCCCACTGTGTGTGTGTGTACTCACCTAGTTGAGGTTGCGGGGGTCGAGTCCGAGCTCCTGGCCCCGCCTCTTCACTGATCGCTACTAGGTCACTCTCCCTGAGCCGTGAGCTTTATCATACCTCTGCTTAAAGCTATGTATGGATCCTGCCTCCACTACATCGCTTCCCAAACTATTCCACTTACTGTGTGTGTGTGTGTGTGTGTGTGTGTGTGTGTGTGTGTGTGTGTGTGTGTGTGTGTGTGTGTGTGTGTGTGTGTGTGTGTGTGTGCGCGCGCGCTCACCTGTGCATAAATTTGAATACAACTTATTTTTTAATAATAGTATTGAAATATAATGTAATGGTTCTCTTCTCAAGATAAACACATATTATACATTCCTTATGCATTATTGTATTGTACCATAAACAGTGTACAAAGTTTATTTCGCTGTGTATAGTGTACATAATGTACTGTGTTGTACCACGTTTACTTCGTTGTATCAGTGTACGTAGAAATCAGGGATTAATGGTTATAAATGACCATAATTTTTAAAGGGGTGGACCGGTAAGCCAGCGGAAGGCCTCGGTCAGATGACCGAAAGCTCCAAAGGCGGGTCATCATCTGACTAAGACCCGCGTCAGGAAACATTTGTCCTGTTTCCTGACGAACCTTACCTAACCTAACCTAGTGTACGTAGTGAGCTTCGTTGAGGTGTTCTACACTGTTCTCCGGTATGTTGTTCCTCTTCGTGTGAGCTGAGCTGATAACTTGGAAGGGCCTCTGACGCCGGTGAAAGACACTCGAGTCACGGAATTGGAGTTCTCTTTTTTTATGATCAAGCCTAATTACTTCTCCCCGGGCGCTGTGACCTCCCCTTCCTCCCATAGATTTAGGGATTTAACGTGATAATTATACAATTGAGTAGGTAAATAATGCTTTGATAACTGACGATTACTGTTTAATGAAATTATTTTTCTCTTTCTCTCTCTCTTTCTTTCTCTCTCTCTCTCTGATCTCTCGGTGGTGCTGCCTGCGACCACCAGCGACCCTGCTGTGTCTCCGGCTGTGCAGGCAGCGGTGCTCGGACACAAGCTTCTGTGCTCCCCATCGCACCTACAGACAGAGAGAACTGGAGATGCAGATGGTTACCGTTCTCCTCGTCATCACCGTCGTCTTCGTCGTCTCCTGGACACCCATTGACGTAAGATATCCTGCAAGAAAATAGAATAGTTTAAGAACAGGAAACAAGTTTTTTTTTTCTTCGCTTGTTCATAGAGAATTTTTTTTTTAGTGGAAACTAAAGTAATTCTTATCTAAAGTCAATTTTTTTATTCAGGTTCAGTGTATAAGTTTGTCCATGCAAATTACTTGTATAATAATCGATATAAATTTTATTTTCTTGAACGTGTTAGCTAGTGAATGTTAACGTTAAACTTCGGAATATATATAATAACGAAAATAATAATGTGATAATCCGCAATATTTAAAAAAAATTAATTACATTCATAGCTAAAAATGTGTGTAGATTAACAATTCTTGTATACATGAAAGTGATGTTTTAATATTTACAGACGGAGGATCAAGCCCCCACCGCCTCTTGCGCTGAATGACCCGTATGGGTTTTAGGCTTAATATGAATTATTTTTATCTCTTCATCTTGCTTGACTGTGTGTGTCCCTCCCCACAGCTTCGACTCTTCTTGAACCAGGTGTGGCCTCACAAGACCCGGGAGGATCACCTCCAAGACCTAATTGCTGTGCGCCTGACGTCCATTAACCAGATCGTCGACCCCTGGGCATACATCATCTGCAGGAAGGTGCGTTCATGGCTCTTTACAGGAGGGCCTCGCTTATACGGCAGGTTAGGTTTCGGGCTATTGCTGTAATCGATAAAATCGCTGTAAAGTGAAACATAACATTTTTTTCAGTTTTAGATGCATAGAAAAGCCTGGTAACATGTTTATTTTATCACAAATTGAGTAATAGAGCTACCTGGAGAGACCTGGAGAGAGTTTCGGGGGTCAACGCCCCCGCGGCCCGGTCTGTGACCAGGCCTCCTGGTGGATCAGCGCCTGATCAACCAGGCTGTTGCTGCTGGCTGCACGCAAACCAACGTACGAGCCACAGCCCGGCTGATCAGGAACTGACTTTAGGTGCTTGTCCAGTGCCAGCTTGAAGACTGCCAGGGGTCTGTTGGTAATCCCCCTTATGTGTGCTGGGAGGCAGTTGAACAGTCTCGGGCCCCTGACACTTATTGTATGGTCTCTTAACGTGCTAGTGACACCCCTGCTTTTCATTGGGGGGATGGTGCATCGTCTGCCAAGTCTTTTGCTTTCGTAGTGAGTGATTTTCGTGTGCAAGTTCGGTACTAGTCCCTCTAGGATTTTCCAGGTGTATATAATCATGTCTCTCTCCCTCCTGCGTTCCAGGGAATACAGGTTTAGAAACCTCAAGCGCTCCCAGTAATTGAGGTGTTTTATCTCCGTTATGCGCGCCGTGAAAGTTCTCTGTACATTTTCTAGGTCGGCAATTTCACCTGCCTTGAAAGGTGCTGTTAGAGTGCAGCAATATTCCAGCCTAGATAGAACAAGTGACCTGAAGAGTGTCATCATGGGCTTGGCCTCCCTAGTTTTGAAGGTTGTCATTATCCATCCTGTCATTTTTCTAGCAGATGCGATTGATACAATGTTATGGTCCTTGAAGGTGATTATTATTATAATCAAAAAGAAGCGCTAAGCCACAAGGGGCCTTGAAGGTGAGATCCTCCGACATAATCACTCCCAGGTCTTTGACGTTGGTGTTTCGCTCTATTTTGTGGCCAGAATTTGTTTTGTACTCTGATGAAGATTTAATTTCCTCATGTTTACCATATCTGAGTAATTGAAATTTCTCATCGTTGAACTTCATATTGTTTTCTGCAGCCCACTGAAAGATTTGGTTGATGTCCGCCTGGAGCCTTGCAGTGTCTGCAATGGAAGACACTGTCATGCAGATTCGGGTGTCATCTGCAAAGGAAGACACGGTGCTGTGGCTGACATCCTTGTCTATGTCGGATATGAGGATGAGGAACAAGATGGGAGCTAGTACTGTGCCTTGTGGAACAGAGCTTTTCACCGTAGCTGCCTCGGACTTTACTCTGTTGACGACTACTCTCTGTGTTCTGTTAGTGAGGAAATTATAGATCCATCGACCGACTTTTCCTGTTATTCCTTTAGCTCGCATTTTGTGCGCTATTACGCCATGGTCACACTTGTCGAAGGCTTTTGCAAAGTCTGTATATATTACATCTGCATTCTTTTTGTCTTCTAGTGCATTTAGGACCTTGTCGTAGTGATCCAGTAGTTGAGACAGACAGGAGCGACCTGTTCTAAACCCATGTTGCCCTGGGTTGTGTAACTGATGGGTTTCTAGATGGGTGGTGATCTTGCTTCTTAGGACCCTTTCAAAGATTTTTATGATATGGGATGTTAGTGCTATTGGTCTGTAGTTCTTTGCTGTTGCTTTACTGCCCCCTTTGTGGAGTGGGGCTATGTCTGTTGTTTTTAGTAACTGAGGGACGACCCCCGTGTCCATGCTCCCTCTCCATAGAATGGAAAAGGCTCGTGATAGGGGCTTCTTGCAGTTCTTGATGAACACAGAGTTCCATGAGTCTGGCCCTGGGGCAGAGTGCATGGGCATGTCATTTATCGCCTGTTCGAAGTCATTTGGCGTCAGGATAACATCGGATAGGCTTGTGTTAATCAAATTTTGTGGCTCTCTCATAAAAAATTCATTTTGATCTTCGACTCTCAGTCTGGTTAGCGGCTTGCTAAAAACTGAGTCATATTGGGACTTGAGTAGCTCACTCATTTCCTTGCTGTCATTGTGTAGGACCCATCTTGTTTAAGTAGGGGCCCAATACTGGGCGTTGTTCTCGATTTTGATTTGGCATAGGAGAAGAAATACTTTGGGTTTCTTTCGATTTCATTTATAGCTTTTAGTTCTTCCCGCGATTCCTGATCCTAAAGGATTCTTTTAGCTTAAGTTCGATGCTTGCTATTTCTCTGACCAGTGTCTCCCTGCGCATTTCAGATATATTGACCTCTTTTAGCCGCTCTGTTATTCTTTTCCGTCGCCTGTAAAGGGAGCGCCTGTCTCTTTCTATTTTACATCTACTCCTCCTTTTTCTTAGAGGAATAAGCCTTGTGCATACATCGAGTGCCACCGAGTTAATCTGTTCTAGGCATAAGTTTGGGTCTGTGTTGCTTAGTATATCTTCCCAGCTTATATCGGTTAGGACTTGGTTTACTTGGTCCCACTTTATGTTTTTGTTATTGAAGTTGAATTTGGTGAATGCTCCCTCGTGACTAGTCTCATTTTGTCGGTCTGGGGCTCCTCGCATACATGTCTGAACCTTCAATTATGTTGTGATCTGAGTATATTGTTTTTGATATGGTGACATTTCTTATCAGATCATCATTGTTAGTGAATATGAGGTCTAGTGTATTCTCCAGTCTAGTAGGCTCTATTATTTGCTGGTTTAAATTGAATTTTGTGCAGAGATTTAAAAGCTCGTGTGAGTGTGAGTTTTCATCAGAGCTGCCTCCTGGTGTTATTACTGCAACAATATTATTTGCTATATTCCTCCATTTTAGGTGCCTTAAGTTGAAATCCCCCAGGAGCAAGATGTTGGGTGCAGGAGCTGGAAGATTTTCCAGACAGTGGTCAATTTTTAACAGCTAGGCCTATAAAAATGCATATACCTAAATTGCTGGGAACGGTTGAGAAGCCTGGAGAAGAGTTCAGCTCCATGGAGCTGAACTCTTCTCCAGGCTGAGGGACTGACCACCTCAAATACTTTTTCAGCAAGGTTGATGGACTGATTACATCATTATTTCATTAATATTACTCCCTCTGTATTTGACTGAAGAAGTCTACTGTGTAGGCGAAACGTTTCATTAATAATGGTTCTCAGGTGTTTGCGACGCGAGCGTGGCGGTGGGTGAGACTCTCCCTGATGGGTTCCAGACTCCTGGGCAGGGAAAGTTCCAGCCATCCTGGAGGTTCTCACAAGAAACTTTCCAGGACGGCCAAACCACCGGAGAAGATTCAGTACAAGACACCTTATAAAGGTAGGTAGTGTGTGTGTATGGTACTTGCCTAGATGTCGCTGCAGGGGTCCAGTCACAGCTCCTGGCCCTCGTGTGTGTGTGTGTGTGTCACATCCTCATAACTTCGTTCTGCCTGTGGGACAGGCTATCCTGAGAGACGGTAAAAATTAATTAGTGGCAGCTCCGGGTTTGGTGGAACGGAACTCTTGAAGTTGTCGTAGCAATTGAACTCTTGGCGGAATATTTGACGATATCCTCATCACTCTGCTCAAATCTACTAACTCAGGCTGAAATATTTCATTACCTCTTGCTTGAAACCCAGTGGCAGACCTACATTTCTGGGTCCCTGAAGCTTGAACTGTTATGGGGTCACCTTGACAACCAGCAACTTAGAAACCTTTTTTAATTTTAACTATAATTTTCCACTAAATTACCGTGGCCTGGTGGCTAAAGCTCTCGCTTCACACGGCGAGTGTCTGGGTTCGATTCCCAGCGAGAGAAGAAACATTAGGCGTGTTTCTTTACACCGGTTGTCTATGTTCACCCATCAGTAAAATGGGTGCCTGGGTGTTGGTCGACTGGTGTGGGTCGCATCCTGGGACAAAACTGACCTAATTTGCCCAAAATGCTCTGCATAACAAGCGGCTTTCTATATAGTAGTATGTCATTGATGTCAGCTATGGTCTATATACCTTGTACATGTACTTGTAGTAAATAAACATATTAGTATTATTTATTTTTAATTATTTTTTAATATTTTTTTTTACAGTAGACCCAAAATTTTTAAGCATTGTGGACTGAAGTCTCTTCTGGGGCCCCACTGGGATTAGGGCCCCCTGAAGTTTAAGCTTCTTTAGTTTCATAGTAGATCTGGCCCTGGCGAGACCCATCCTGTGTGATATGACAGGGAAACATAGCTAGCATTTGCTTCCGCAATGTAACTATCATGTATAAAAGAGTAACAGCACACCGCTGGAATTCCCACAATGCAACTCGCTAAAAGAACTGAGAAAGAGCACGATGCTGGTGTTTATACCTTGTAATTATATAGCAAATATATTAATTTTGTTTACATTTATAAAACTCTTCTTTCTTAGGAGGAGGTGGAGGTGAAGAAATGGTGGGGGTTAAAGATGTAGTGGTGGTGGTGGCGAAAGACTCCCTGATCTTGTCTCCTACACCTCCACCACTGCCTCCAACACCTCCACCACTACCACCGCCGCCAAGGACGCCCGCTAAGGACACCAAGCCTGTTGCCACCTCCAAGGACATGGGAGGCACAAACGAGGGAGGAGGGAGCACAGTGGAGTGGGCGTTGAGGGAACCCAAGAGTCTTATACCCACCATCACTTCCACTGCTACTCCCACTAACATTCCACTCACCAACTTCATCGATTCCGAACCTACTACTTACGCCACCCCACCGCATGGTAAGACACTTGGATTGTAGCCTTAGCTTCACGAGGCCACTCACCACAGAACCATAATAGTCTTAATAATAATTATAAGCATAATAATATAGTAATAGTAATGGTTTTCAATGTCACGTGAGCAGACACTAGAACATGTTAGAAAACTTTTCGGTCCTGGGACCTTGATCACTTCTAACGTTAGAAGCGATCAAGGCCCCACGACCGAAACGTTATCTAACATGTCCTAATGTTTGTTTACCTGTCTGTCTAAACCAGTTTGTCGGTATCTATTACCAAGGTTTATACCAGTAATAGTAATCCAGATAAAGCCACAAACTGGAAATAAATCTTTAAATGATTTCTGTCGATCCTGGACCTTCATCAGATGGCAAGTGATACATTAACGTGGAGCCTCATTTATCAATATTAGTAACCGACCCACAGGATAATAAATTATTCTGTATATCGACCCCCACATCGTTTTCTATATCTACACGGCTAATTCTATGCAAAATATACCACATATTGCTCATACAGGATGTCTCCACTACCTTCACCCTCCTCGCTGCAACGTTTAAAACCCATGCCTCACACCCATGCAACAGTATTGGTACCACTATGGTGCATATCCCTTTTTGCCTCCATAGATAAACTTCTCTTCACAGATACTTCATCAACACCACGTACCTTTCCTCCTCCCTCGTCTGTTCTATGGTTCATTTCTCCCATAAATCCATCTGCTGACACGTCCACTCCCGGTTATAAGATAAGATTTCGTTCGGATTTTTAACCCCGGAGGGTTAGCCACCCAGGATAACCCAAGAAAGTCAGTGCGTCATCGAGGACTGTCTAACTTATTTCCATTGGGGTCCTTAATCTTGTCCCCCAGGATGCGACCCACACCAGTCGACTAACACCCAGGTACCTATTTGCTGCTAGGTGAACAGGACAATAGGTGTAAGGAAACGTGTCGGAAATTCCACCCGCCGGGAATCGAACCCGGGCCTTCCGTGTGTGAAGCGGGAGTTTTAGCCACCAGACCAATTCTCTTCAGAATCTTCCAAAATAAGATAAACTTTTTAGTCGAAGTTGTCATTATAAACTTCAGTTAACATTGATACTGGTGAAAGGCTCTTGATCCAGAGAATTGGAGGTAAACAAACCTGATTACCTCCAGTCATCCAGGTGTTTAATGACTGTTAATTCGCTGAATATAAAAATAATTTAAAAGGACACAAGTGCAACTAATGTGACATTTTATTGTGGCAACGTTTCGCTCTGCAGGAGCTTTGTCAAGTCGGCTTGACAAAGCTCCTGGAGAGCGAAACGTTGCCACAATAAAATGTCACATTAGTTGCACTTGTGTCCTTTTACTTTACATATTGTCGGTAATTCTACCAACATTATTACAAAAATAATTTAACAATAAACAGTGCAAGTCTACGAAGGTAAATCATTTATTTTAACCGATACGAAATTATTTATTACAGTCGTGTAATTATTTTGAAACACGTATGAAATATAGCTGTAATGTAAAGTAAAAGGACACAAGTGCAACTAATGTGACATTTATTGTGGCAACGTAATGGCTTGATAAAGCTCCTGGAGAGCGAAACGTTGCCACAATAAATGTCACATTAGTTGCACTTGTGTCCTTTTACTTTACATATTGTCGGTAATTCTACCAACTTTATTATAGCTGTAATATATCAGTTGAATATTTCACCATTATATCTGCAAATACTAATTAATAGCATTAAATATGAAAGGATAAATGTGATTTACGTCTATAATATATACGTTTAATTCCTTATTAGCAAATATTTGATAATAAAATTTACATGAAAATGGAAAAATTTGTAACAATTTAAGAATAATAATGTAACATAATGAATCTGATACGAAGTGAGAGTTGTCAAAGTTAATCTTTGTCGATGATAATTATTTTAGCAGATTTTGAATAGCTACAAAAGATGGTAAAGGAATCTGAAAGGTTTTGTAAAAGGAACTGAAAAGTAAACATGGAAAAAATGCAAGGTGATGAGAGTAAAAAAAAAAAAATGCTTAGGCAATGAAAAACTGTGTATCAGACTGAAGGGAGAAAGTATGAAGCACATGTATCAACATATTTGGAATTGGACATTTCAACAAGTGGGTTTGTTAAAGACTGAATCAACTGTAGACTGGGTGAGTTGGATACAAGGCAAGTGGTGTGTTGAGGCATCTATGGAGACAAAGAATTTTATCAATGGAGGCCACAGAAAAATATGCGCCAAATTATATTGGTACGAACAATTTTGTATGGATGTGAAGCATGGGTTTTGAACGTTGCAGGAAGCAGTGGAAATGTCATGTCAGAGCAATGTGTAGTGTGAATCTTATGCATAGAATTCGGAAGGTGGAGTTTAGAGGACGTACTGGACGTTACCAAAAGTATGATTCAGAGGCCTGAGGAAAGAGATGGACTGTGTATTCAGGGAGAATAGAGCGAAGGGAAGAGGAGGTTGTGGTCGACACATGAAAAGCTGGAGTTGAGAAGGTTTTGAGTGTTAAGGGCTTGAACTTCCGACAGTCTTGTGTGAGCGTGTTAGATGGAGTGGTTTATTTGATTGGTTTGACATTGCTGTTAGTGTGAGCAAGGTAAACATTTATTTTATTAAGGTGGAGGCATGAAGTACAGTGCCTGCGCTCTAGCAGAAGAGTGAGGATGTTGCAGTACGCTGGGTAATTTGAAATGCGATGTCATCACCTTTCTGGCAAAGCTGCCATTGAATGAATGATGGTATATATACTTTTTTTTTTTTTAGGTCGCTTTATCTCGATGGGAGACGAACGATGTTTTAAACACTACTACTACTACTACTACTACTACTAATATAAAATTACGAGACCAGAAATAATAATATTGATCCCCGAGGCTTCCTGCTTTACGATTAATAATTAATGACATTCACCAGGAGAAAGACATTAGGTTAATGGGCAATAAGCGTTAATATCATGAGTGAAACATTGATTAATTGTACTTACTACACGGAAAATTAACCCATTAACCCTTACAAGGAAGGAAGGGGAAGGACTTTTTGATACTGGTGAGGGGGGGGCTTATGATTCGATGACTTGGAGCTACCCACCTCTTGCGTAAAAGCTGATTGCCTTCTATTCCTAGGGTGCTGTATGATTCCCTACGGATTTAGGGCTCTCATTCGAATATAATCCGTTAATAACTAAGCTGTTACTTGTAGCAATTCATGTATAATACAAGAGGTTGAAAGGGTTGGTAAGGTTACGTAGAGGAAGCCGGCAAAGGGTAGGGCTTCAGGGAAGAAATTGGGAGTTTAGATACTTAAGTCTCACTTCACAAAAAAAGAGGCCGGATCTCCCTCTCTCCCAACACACTCCTTCACTTTTTTTTTTCTCTACTGCCCTCAGTAGTGAAATTACGTATGTCACGCTTACTTGTAGCTTGTGTAGCTTGCTCTTGTGCTGTCTTGATGGGTCGTCCGCCTTGTGGTTTTTCTCGTTTTGTTATGGTATATAGTATATACTCTGGTGATAGTTTCACAGTGAAAACTGATAGAAAACTGATATTCAGCAAAGTCGAAGAATCAGTATCATTACACCTTGTCGTTTCTTCAGCTGGAGCAAGAAAGTTATGTTTCTCCTATACTTTTCTTTGGACAGTGTCTACGGGGGATGATGTAAACACCTGCTATTGAAGTTAGTGTAGGACTTTGCTCCGAAGTGAGATCTTTGATGGAGGATGTATCCACGGTGCTTTTAGTTAGTGTTTTTAGCAAACACCTGGCTAGTATTTACTGCAACTTCTCCAGAGAGGACAAGTGTGATCTATGCTTTGTCACGGACCCTCACAGCCATCAAAGGGGCTTTCATTGAACGATTTGTTGTCCAAATCACCATAAGCACAACAGATGGTTAGACTGGCTCTTTGCAAATATCGGACTCAACCGTAGATGCAAAAGCTTGGCTTGTGGATACATACTGCCCTCTCCAGGACTAGATGTGGTTTTGCAGTGAAGTTGAATACCGCTATCTCCTACAATGGTTACTAAGTAGCTCTTCCGGGATAGTTCTTTGATGATTCAGGGCAGTTACTCGGCCACGATGATTAAGTGTATAGTGTCCCTTGCACAGTGTGTAAGGCGTGTGTGAATACATTGAAGGGTCCACCGAGGATCTAAGAATATTCGGTAAACCACATGGGCCAGTGTGGTAGTGGCAGTAGCAGCAGCAACAGGAACACCAACAATAGTAGCAAAAATGTTAGTCGTAGTAAATCAACTTACATTTTTGTTATTCATTTGCATACAGTTTTCTCGCCACAGCACTAACTCTTGACACTCATTTGTTCAAATTATCAGTGTGAAGGAAAGCTTATGTTACACAGTGCAGACCTCGTACCGATAGCTAGACAATAATCGTTTGAATATCACACTGATATAGGCCCCGTTATATTTTCCATTGCACATGTCCCTAATGTAATTTTCCTCTGAGTCTTACCTGTGGATCCTTTTCCTACGTCCTCTCTTCCTCCTCCAGCTGCTGGCCAAGACATGTTAACACTGGGTGTAGTGCCCATCCCTGTGTTCACCTCGGAGCAGTATTGTGTTCGTCAGCTGGTAGAGCCCGAGCACCGTCACCATCAATACCACCACAACCATCAACTGCGTTTCAGTCGCCTCCCCTACTCTGCCAGTGCCAGGTGTTCACCGACTTCCGGAGACACAGGACAAACTGGAGGCATCAATAGTGAGTTGGTGGAGAGCTGTTGAAAAAAAAGGGGGGGCATGTGTTGGAGAACAAGCTTTCTAATGGAACCACGTTTCATGCTATACGGAGAAACTTTCTTCATCCACTCTTTCCCCTCCTCCCCCCCCCCAAAAAAAAAATCTTATTCTGCATTGCGTCTTCGGTATACATCGGAAGTGTGCTATTGAGATCTAGATGTAAATTCACTCGACGATTGGATGAAAAAGACTAGTCAACGACCCACTTAGTCTCCAGAATATCTCTCGCGTAAGCTTCAGTCATTTCCCAAGTGAAGCGTAAATCCCGTAGCGGTCATGCAGCGCCTGGGAAATGAGAGGTAATAGTCTGATCAACCCTTCACCAGCATCAAGCATTTCGCATAGCGTAGTGACCAAGGTTCATTAGAGAACTAGAGGGCATAAAATATTACGCATAAGGGCGCGCTCATTACTTTTGGTGATATGCTGGAATCTTAATTATGGCATTATCTTGTCATTATTTTGATAATAAATTAATTGCTAGTGTCACTGTTTTATTTTTATTACAAGTACAAGGTGTAATAGAAATAATAAGTATTTTAAATGATATCGGTCTTGTGTATTAATAGGTCATATAACGGACCATTATTGAACAGTGTACCCCGGTACAACGGTCACCCTCACAGGTGCACAATAAACTGGCCACTTGCAGGATGAGCTGCGTAGGTGCACAATAAACTGGCCACTTGCAGGATGAGCTGCGTAGGTGCACAATAAACTAGCCACTTGCAGGATGAGCTGTGTAGGTGCACAATAAACTAGCCACTTGCAGGATGAGCTGTGTAGGTGCACAATAAACTGGCCACTTGCAGGATGAGCTGTGTAGGTGCACAATAAACTGGCCATTCGGACAACTCAAAATAAGCTATCTTTATTAACACGTAATTTAGGTTATACTAGAAATTGTCTGAAGGAAGAATAAACTTTATTTAACGCGTTCTGTTTGTTTTCATTGTGGCCTTTGAAGAGGGAGGGAGGGGATGCGCCTTGATGCTGAAGGGCTCTTGATCTAAGAGCTGAAGAGTTCTTGGATCAAGAGGAGGGTAGAACGCTTGCCATCGAGAGTACAATGATAGTTTCACTCGTTTCGGGAATATCCATAAATTTTTTTCACTCGTGACACTTTCACTCGTCACTCTCACTCGTCTCCCTCATCTTATCGGGTAACTTTACGACAATCCATTTTCTAACTTTGAAGTTCCATTTTCCGTTGCTATGCAATGAAAAATATAATTGCTGATTTCTCCAAGATATATAGGTGAGAGCATCAAGGACTTATCACGCATAGCTTAAATTGTTTCCAAATTTGATTATAAATGAATCTAATTTGTATAACCCTAAACTTATATTAATATCAATTCTGTTTTTTTAAGCTTTTTAGCACTTAGTTATAATAATTTTATGAAGCTTGATTCATTTATATTTCTTCCAACCATAGACCTGCTTGATGCAACTTTCTCGGCCTTTTGGTAATTAATTGGGTGATTAAAATCTGAGTTACTCTACTCTATGGCTTCAGACATACGGGACTCAAGTTACTGGAACAAAAACCCGTCGATCTCACCATTATATTTATCACTTACAGGTGAGACACTGTCGGATTCTTGGGTGTCAGTGTCATCAGTGCTGGGGCGTCGACACTCCTGGTGCTGTACGCAGATTCCTTCCAATGATAAGCAGTACCGTACACAGAGCACCCAGACCATCATTACCCCCAACACTCTAGGAGACGATTTCCTAAACTACACCAGCGTCAGTCAGGGGCATGACCTTCTCGACGACTCCGTCAGTCAGGGGCACGACCTCTTCGACCATGTCAACCTCAGTCAAGGGAACGGCCAAGCCATTCGTCATACAACTAGTGATAAGTCCCCATACCACCTCGCTGCCACTTTCCCCTACCTCAACGCTTCTACTAACACCGTTCACCCTAGAGTCACTTCCCCCGTCCAGCACAGAGCTACTTCCCCAATGAACCTCATTCCACCTCATCAATCTATCGACTTCATTTCCCAGAACCACATCCAACAAGACCAAGAAACAGACACCCACCATGAAAATCTTCACCAAGACGCCAAATACCCAACCCGCCTTCACTCAAACCCCACCAATCCTTCCTCGGAGCCCTCATCGCGACTTTTAAACCCCATCACCCCTCTCCACCACCCACAGAACATCTCCAATCTAGATTTCTGCAACTTCAACAGCGAGGGACACCTCAGCAGACCTACAGACAATCGCTCGGTCAGACACGAGGATAGTAAGTCTGTGTTTATCATCGGTAACAATGTGATTCCATGGATAGATGATTCCCAAAGTGCTGAAAATAACAATTGTGTTTTAAAATCAATCAGTTCAAAGAGCACCCCTGAGCATAGAGATTATAAGAACTTTTTTTGAATGCTCTAAACTGAATCTCAGTGATACAGTCTTTATCTTTCAGAAAAATCTAATTACGTAAACAGTTCCGTAATGATAAAGTTGTAAGATTTTGTAAACTAAAGCTGTATAGCCCTTGTGGTTTAGCGCTTCTTTTTGATTATAATAATGTAAACTAAAGCAGCTTTGTGGTGGTAAAGTCTTCGTAAAAAAAAAATGGAAATGAAACATATTTGTGAATTGTGACTAAGATGAGCCAAGTTTGCCTTAGCAAACAACAGGCAGCTAACACGACAGAGTCCATCAGGTATGGACATAAAAATGAAATGATTTGATTGCCACGGTTCAGTGAACTAGTGACGAACCAGTGAACTAGTGACGAACCAGTGAACTAGTGACGAACCAGTGAACCAGTGACGAACCAGTGAACCAGTGACGAACCAGTGAACCAGTGACGAACCAGTGAACTAGTTACGAACCAGTGAACCAGTGACGAACCAGTGACGAACCAGTGAACCAGTGACGAACCAGTGATGCTGAGTGGTAAACACTTTAACCATTAAGTGGAAGCTCGTTTAGAAGTGAAACTATACGAAAATGGTTAAAAATTATTCAGAGTGATGCTCAGAATTAGATACAGTAGACCAGTGAGAGAAACTTCCAGTGAGGCGAGTCTGTGAACCAGCGAGTCTGTGAACCAGCGAGTCTGTGAACCAGCGAGACTGTCTCTAACTGAAGCGAGACACCAAACAAATGGCCAGTAGAAAGTTATATATGTAGCTCCAATTAGTACTTTTAACTCTACAAATTTTTTTTTCTTAAGAATTAAAAGTACTTAAAGAAATTCCCTCCCTTTTCAAAGCATTATTATCGGGAAGCGCTAGACCCGCAGGAGTCATTCAGCACCTGGGAAATGTTTAGAATAATAATGATAATGGTACACCTGCGTGTATTCCGGGGGTCAGCGCCCCCGCGGCTCTGTCCGTGACCAGGCCGCGAGTAACGTATATGTAGCGCGAATATAGTGGACAGAGGATCGAGCCTCCACAATTTCCTTCGCTAAATGATCCACACGGGTATAGCGCATCACATATAAATTTTCCAGAGTGGGAAGATTGCGATTTATATTGTTGTCAACTTTCGTTTGAGAGAAAGTTGTCGAGTTTGTATTTACACAATGTTTAAACTTGTGTAGTTAGACAATGGGAATCATCCTGCCTAGAAACTGGCTGGAAGTTGTTCTTTGAGATTTTGACCTCTATGGTAAGAGAGCAAATGACTGCCGACAACTTGAGAGGAAACGTACACGAATATATTCACTGTATAATGGTTTAAAGACCGAAACGTCTGCTATAAAGATGTCCAAAGTAAATCCATTCGTGTTCAATTCTTTTAATCTGACCTCCGTCTAAGGTCCTTTTACTGCAGATCAGTCTTGTCTCCGTGAGAGTTAATTGCAGCTGCTAAATGCATAACACACTATTGCTCCATCCACAGAATATGAATACCGACAGATTGTAAAAAGGGTTATTCAAACTTTCTATTTTGAAAATATGCATGAGTTCGTTTATGCGCATTATTAGACTTCTGGCAGTTTACTGGACATATATTTTATCACAACCTCCACAGGGAATTTTATTCATCCTGGAACTTCTTGATTTTGAGTAGTGTTTTTGTGCCTTGTGAGTTCCTCTACAATGAGGTGATGACCGATATCTGCTGTTGGCATAGTTCATTAACACTATATTCTTGAGAGGCACCTTACATGTAGAAAAGATTAAGTATCTGTCATTGTTGTTCTCGATATTTTGTGATGTAGTCCAGCTGGGCTTGTGAGCAGCAGCTCCGCTCGAATCTCTGCTCAGGAGCTCTGCATCCCAGCAGCAGCTCCGCTCGAATCCCCCTACTCAGCTCTTCCTTGGGCTTTTATGGTGGTCCAAGCACCCTCCACAACCACGTGTACGACCTGACGCCTAGGTCTGAGGCGTCAAGAACAAAAGACCTCAGACGTGGGCGTGGCTACAGACGTTTGCCAAGGCAAGGTGTGACCATATAATTGGTTAAATTATGTCTCCCCAGAGACCTCACAAGCCCAGCTGGACTACATCACAATTTGAGTATGTTCAGTGTCTTCGCGGCTTTCCTTCTGCTATATTGTACAAATATGAGTTGAAATTTCTAAAAGAAATCTTTTGATATTGCTACACTGATATAGGAAAGCTGGACTGCGTCCTGTCAGTACGCAGAAAGTCTAGTCTAAGGAGGACGCTACCTTCTTAGTCCGGTTGTGATGTAGCCAATATTGCAGGTCATTTCTGTGGGTTGGCTTGAAATAGATTTGAAAAGATTTATTATCTATTACTCTAAACCATACCACGGATGGGGTTAAAACCCGCGATCAGAGAGTCACAAAACTCCAGACCGACGCGTTAGCCACTGGCCCAGTGGCTAACGCGTCGGTCTGGAGTTTTATGCCTCTTATCGCGGGTTCTAACCCCACCCTTGGAATGGTTTGTTTGCAATCGTGTCATTACAATTTCGCGAGTCATCTGTTACTCCATTTGTGAGGACTTCAGAAAACGGGAATGCGTTTGTTTACTTTTCTTGGATGAAACTGTATTGATGGTTCGGTAGTGCTTTTGTTGCTACAAAGATGTAGTAAATGGAAATGTTAGAGTTATGATCATACCATCAACTTAGCCATGATATGTGGTTTGAAATTCTGGAAAAAGTTTGTCTTCATGTACTCCATTGCGATACCGACAAACTGTGGAAAAGAACACTGCTGGATAATTCAATATCCAAAATTGAAGACCAGTGTTCTTTTCCACATTAACCAGAGCATCACTATGGCTATACCAAAAGACTGATAAAGCCCCTGGCGGGCAAAACGTCTCGTTAATAAATGTCCTGATACGGCATTTGTGTCTTACGTTTCGGCGTTGCTCCATATTTACAACCTGAGAAGGCCAAGTCGAAGAGTTTGATGAGAGAGATTTGACAGAGTCATTTGTCTCTGTATCTGAGTGATGGTAGTGAATATTTTTGAGAAAAGTTTTGAAAAAATAATAATATACTGGCAGGGTTCTCTGTTCATAGTATAAATGGTTTTAACCCCTAAACTGTCCAAACGTAGATCTTCGTTGACGTGCGTCAAGTTAGAGAAATACTTACGGTTTTGTAATGGCATCTTTCTCATCAGAGATACCCCAGTGCTGCAGTCAAGTTTTACTCACCAACCTGGCCATTTTTGTCTATTTCTCATCTTCTACTTGTCAGTATTTTATGGTTATTATATCCAACACAAAAATGGGGGGGGGGGGGGGGAAGGTTACATTTCTTGATAAACAAAACTCGCATTGTACATAAATAGTATAAAATACCGACATGAAAATTAATTTTCAACTCTCATTGATACTCTGACGATGTATTAGGCTACGGATGGAAAAAATGAATGAATTTCCTTAAAGGATGAACGTTCGTACATTCTACATATCAATAATGAATGTTTTATACTTAAAGTTTGTCTATATTTAAGTGAAAAAATGGACACAATACATTTGTACATAGTGTCAATGTGATGAATATTCGCTGTGTAGTATTTGATATATATTTACATTATATATTTGTAACAATAAGTAACGAAGAATTGTATATATTTGTGAAAAATGTTTGGCAAGGGTAGAAGGCGAGTAGTTAGTGTTTACTTGACACTTTAAATTGTGTAGACCTTAATAATGCAGGCATCTTTGTATTGCGAAAGTTTACCCTTCAAGGGAGGTGCCTTGATTCTGAAGGACTCGTAATCCGAGGCACTGGAGCTGTCCTCTTTTGGATCGAATTTTGATTACGTCCCATTCTCTATGAGCTGTGTGACCCCTGCGGGGTTAGCGATTACCAGTGACAGTAATACTAAAATATTAAGGTAAAACTTATATATCGGTGTTCGGCTTCAAATTTTGTACAAGAAATGGATTTACCATTGATGAAGGGCTCTTGATGTAAGGAACTGGAGGTACCCTCTCCTTATAATCAAACCTTATCACTTCTCACCCCTCTTATACCCCAAACGCTTTATGACCCTCTACGGGTTTAGCCTTTCTCAAACTAATAATAACCATATATCTACACGCTAATGTTGTATACATAATACACATTTTGGAATGTAGCAAAACTGAGTGTCAAAGTTGATTTTGACAACTTTTCATTGAGATGGTACAATAATGGTACAACTGGATTTAGTCTTTCGACTATACGCGGGTCATTAAGGCTGCATGTCACCTGTATACCTGTCACATTACCCTCATATATATATATATATATATATATATATATATATATATATATATATATATATATATATATATATATATATATATATATATATATATATATATTAATATATATATAATGTCGTCCAGAATAGGTAAAATTGGTCAATTAGCAAAAGCTCTTTTAAAATAATCCTTTCTAAAATTTTCTTTTGTATGTTTAAAGATATATTCTCCTTCATTAGTGTTAATGTAAAAATTAATGATTTTGTACCAAAAGCACCTTAGAAAACTTACCTAACCTTATTATAACAAGCGCAATTTAACTTAGCCTAATCCAACTAAATATATTTTAGATAAATTTACAGTAATTTAATAAACAAACACAATGAAATATATTTTTTGATTAGGTTCAGAATGATTTTTGCGAAATTATTGCATACACAAATTTTCGCTTGCCTTATTCGGCAAGAAGAGCATTGCTATTTAAGGAAAAATCAAGTTTTATCTAATCGACACGAAATTATATATTGTGTGTATGTATATATATATATATATATATATATATATATATATATATATATATATATATATATATATTATTGCATGCAATCCTGTACAATATATACGTATTCATACATGTGTATATACAATCACACGTATATATATATACATTTATAAATTAATTCATGTACGCATGTATACATGCAAAAATCACCCAAAAATATATTATAAGCTCTGAGAAAACCTGAGTATTTGTTAAGTATTTGTAAAGTGCTCGTAGCACTGTGGACGAGCTGCTTGTCCTGCTAAATACTGTTAATGTATGTACCTGTATGTTCACTTTTGTTACAGATAAATGATTTTATCTTCAGTAAATTCCCTTCAACTTAAAGGATATTTTTATTACGCCTAGGTGTGTGTGCGTGCGTGCGTGCTCACTAATTTTTGGTTGCAGGGGTCGATTCACAGCTCCTGGCTGCGCCTCTTCGTTGGTCGCTACTAGGTCCACAGACATTCCCTGCTCCGAGAGCTTTATCATACCTTGTGTGTGTGTGTGTGTGTGTGTGTGTGTGTGTGTGTGTGTGTGTGAGGGGGGGGGAGAGAGAGAGAGAGAGAATTCTCTAGATACAAGATCCGAGTAACTCTCACGGCTTCCCCCCCCCCTTCAAAAGGGGTTCCTTGAAGGCGACTCTTGATCCAAAAAATTGAATTTATCTTCCCCATGAATTAGACGTGAATGCCTCCCACTCCCCAGACACTAGATATCTTTTCGGGCTTATCGTTTTCCCTTCATAAAAATAAATAAAATTAACAAGTTTAGAGGTGCTGTTGGAGTGTCACGAAGTCCACATTTATGAAGGGATTCTTGGAAACAGGTTTGCCGGACTTGAGTCCTGGAAGTGACACGCACACTTAAGGAGAGATGGGGGTGTTGGTGTTGCAGTTCTGAGGGTCATTTGAATTTTGTCTGTGTTTCTGGCAAGACAGTTTTTTTTCTCTCCCTCATTCTTGCACTGCCTTACCAGCAATTCACAAGTCTAATAACTCAGAAAAGCATAGTTATGTTATGGAAAGGAAGGGTCCTTGCCATGCTTTTGGGAATTTTTAAGCAGTTCTGGGGTTTGGCAGTGAGAGAGAGAGAGACAGAGACAGAGACAGAGAGAGAGAGAGAGAGAGAGAGGGGGGGGGGAGCCCTTGAGGGTTATTTGGCATACTTCTCCACACTCAACTTCATCGGCTTCAGCAAAGGTAAACTTGAGCCAGTTGCTTCTATTTCTGAGATCCAAACAAAACATTATGGAGGAACTTGAAGGATTCTCGACGACTGGCTGGTTAAACAGTCGCTCTGAATTACACCTCTCTAATTAATATCTTAAAAATAACAATGTGAATAAATCTGCCGATGTCTCAGAAGAGACGTCACGTACCAAGATACATCACCTGTCCATCTAAGTTTCCTAAGATGATTCTGGGAAAACAAACAAGTTTTTTTTTTTTTGAGATCAGCGGAAACTCAAACCTGATTGCCTGCCATTCCCCAGACGCCACTTGGCCTGCCATTCCCCAGACGCCACTTGGCCTGCCATTCCCCAGACGCCACTTGGCCTCGCTAGTGGTTTAGCGATACACTGAAAATAATTTACAGTACAAAGTTCACCAGTGTACTAATTTCATTCATCGTATTCATTTCTATCTTTCTCGTATACGTAATACATACATTTTAGACTCTAGTTAAAAAGTATATTATATAAATTACTTTGTTCATCTCAAATTATATATATATATATATATATATATATATATATATATATATATATATATATATATATATTATATATATATATATATATATATATATATATATATGTCGTGCCGAATATGTAAAACTGGTCAATTAGCAAGAACTCATTTAAAATTAAGTAATTTCTAAAATTTTCTCTTATACGTTTAGAGATATATTTTTTTTTTCATTAATGTTGATGTAAAATTTTATGATTTTGCACCAAAAGAATCTTAGAAAACTTACCTAACCTTATTATAACAAGAACAATTTATTTTAGCCTAACCCAACTAAATATATTTTAGATTTGTTTACAATAATTTAATACTAAACAAACACAGTGAAATATATTTTTATTGTTAGGTTCAGAATGATTTTGGCGAAATTATTGCACACACAAATTTTCACTTGTCCTATATGGCAAGATAAGCGTTGCTATTTAAGCCAAGATCGCAAGTTCTGCCTATTCGGCACGACATTATATATATATATTTTATATATATATATATATATATATATATATATATATATATATATATATATATATAATATATATATATATATATATATATATATTATATATATATATATATATAAGTCTGATGGTATGAAATATGGGAAAGAGAACATTGCTTTGCAAGCTACATTCATCTCGTCGAGTTAAAAATAAATAATTCACCACTGTGACCTTTAAGGAAGAAATTTCACGGATGGTTGATGCTGCGTGTATGCGTGCGTGCGTGTGTGCATGTGTGAGTATGTGTGCGTATGTGTGTGTTTGGTGTGTGTGTGTGTGTGTGTGTGTGTGTGTGTGTGTGTGTGTGTGTGTGTGTGTGTGTTTTCCCAGAAGAAGCACAGTGAACTACAACCGTCTTTACACAAGACATTATGTCAGCCATGCAAAATGATGGGCCATAATTCTAGCATGAGAGGCGAGGAATGATTATACTGGTGATGAAGATGGAGAGGTGGTGGGGGGTGATGATGGTGGTTGTAATGGTGGTGGTGGTAGTTGTGGTGGTGGTAGTTGTAGTGGGGTGGGGAGAGTTGAGTTATTGGTAGTGTCAGTGCCGTTGGGGATGTTTTGGTTATGGTAGTATTGCTGGTAGTGATAGTATTTTATCATATTTATTTCTTCCAATACATGATGCAACTTAAACAGACCATAGCTGACATCAGTGACGTACTATAAAGTCCCTTGTTATGCAATGCATTTCCCGCAACTTAGGTTAATTTTGTCCCCTGGATTCCACCCACACCAGACGACAAACACCCAGGTACCTACTTACTTCTAGATGAACATGGACAGCAGGTGCCTTAATTAAGGAAACACTCCCAAATGTTTCCACCCAAACCAGGGATCGAACCACGGCCCTCAATGTGTATTGCTGGTATTAAGTGTTTTATTGATGGTAGCATTGTTGGTAGTACAGGCATGTACTTTTCAGTGTATGAAACTATACAATAAAGTTAAGCTTGGAACTCAAGCTTTATCAAAT